GTAGTTGCTTAAACAGCTGCCCCTCATGGAAATGTTAATCCTCTTGAAAGTTGGTGAGAAAAACAAAACTTACAGGAGGCAAAGAAAGAAGTGATAATTAGGTCACAGGAAGTAAATAAAGAGTGAATAGCCAGAAGCAAATATAGCAGTGAATAGATTCAGCAGCCCAACCACCTTATGGTCTGCTCTTGCTTAGGAATGAAGGTTCTCAAAAAAAAAAAATTCCTCTTACTCTGAGTGTTTTTAAAATAATAATGAAAAAACCCTGTTAAATCCCACAAAAGAAAGGTGAATGCCTTTGTCTCATAACTAGAAGGGAGAGTTTGTGGAAAGCATTACCCCAGTTTTAAGGAAGGGGAAAAGAAAAGTTCTACCACAGCAATACTACAAAATTGCAGGTCGTGCCTATGTCACTGTATTGCTCATCCCTACTCCCTGGTGTATCCTGTTGGGTGGGATCACATGTATTTGTGACTGTGGTACATCTATATGGCTGGTGAATCACCAGGGATGTTAATTTTAAGTATGAAAAGACGACCTAGGAAACGTCTCATGATACCAGAAAAGTTAGTATGTCAACAAAAAATGTAACAGAAAAACACCCAATACAGTGCTACAAATGATGTGATACGATAGGGACATGTGGTTTCTGTAAAAGAAAATCATGTGTTCTTATACTAAGATGTTTTGAGCATGTCAGGAGAATCATGAACTTAAGAATCAGTTGAAATTTATTTGGTCTATAAAAAAGCCTTTGGCAAAGCTTCTCACAGAGAAGCTGCCAAATAAATTAAGCAATATGATGTACTATGGCAAATTAGAAATCCACCAAGAGACAGTAAAACAAAGGGTAGGAAGGAATTAGCAATTTTAAGCATGACAAAAGGCTAACAGAGGGGTGTTCCATTACTAAAAGTGGAATTGTGCATATTTTAACAAATGTGATCTGCACAAAATGATGACTGTGGGTAAGAAAATTGTAGATGATACAACCTTGTGTGCACGAATCAAGATTAGAAAAGATTGAAAGGGGAAAAAAAAGGTTGACTGACTGATAAACAAGGGGGCAAATGAAGTTATTGTTGACGAATACAAGGTACTGTACCTTGGAAACCAGAGTCTAATAATGCACCTGGCTGTCTGATATAATGAACTGTAAATGCTCAGGAAAAATATCTGGATATCATTGTAGACAGTTCAATGAAAACCTTCTCTTGACATGCACAGGAGTAGTTAAAAAGTACACTAAATATTTCAGTGTCTGGAGAATAAAACAGAAATAACACTGAAAATATGACAATGCCATTATTACCATATGGTATGCTGCCACTTCTGGTCACTGCATCAAAAGAGACATATCAGAAATAGAAGGGATTTTAAAAGTTGGCAATGAAAATTATTAGTGGGTTAGCAAAGAAAGAACTCCCTTTGAAGAAAGAAGCTGAAAAGAATGGGACTGCCAGGAGGGTAAGAGAGGTGTGATCAAAGGTGGGAGGTGTGATAAGAATAATGCATGTGATAGAGAAGAAAAATCCAATTGCCTCTTTTTTTCTTTCTTGTAATTTGAGAATGAGGAGGTAGAAAGAGAAACTGAAAGAAACAGAACTTAAAAACTGTGACCAATAGATTACTTGTATCAAAGTCCTCAAACCAGCCTGAAGTTTGTAAGCACTCTATAGTTTTGTTGAAAAGATCGAGCACACGCTGAAATAACTGTAGAAACACAAAATATCATTTGAGAGTTGGCAGACTGTAGGGTTAATAAAGACAATAGAAGTACTTTGCCCAGACAAGGAGAACATCCGTAGTTAAAGGAAATAAACTCAGAAGCCAGAAGCCTGTAAGTGTTTCTGACATAAGTCAAACAGTAGTTTTATGGGATTTTGAAAGAAGCATTCTCTATGAGCAGGTTGTGCACTGTGGCTTGTTGCAGTGTAATTCAGAGAGATCCAAATCTGGCAGCAGCTGGGCTCAGACTGGGACTTTGGGGAAAACCTGCCAGCTGCACTCTTGTCTCCTCCTGCCTGTGATTCTTGCACGAATGGCCTATTTGAGTCTAAAGAAGACATCTGATGGTTTGAGTAGCATTAACACAGTGTAAAAGCCATTCTCTGTCTCATGGAGGGAGAAGGCAGATTTTTGGACTGCAACACTGTGTGGCCTAGATCTTCCCTGTGGCTTTCTGTGTAGCTCTACGGGGTTTCTTGTTTTTCATTCTGCAGCAAGTAGTTACTGCCTTGACTTTTCCCTCCAAATAGCATAGAATGGCCAATTCTTGGCTCTTTCAACTGCTGTTGAATTAGAAAATAAGGGACAGTTTTTTCTTTAGAGGGACTTTCACTTCCGTTTCTAATAGTGTTCAAATTTTTAAATGAAAAATATGTATTTTTAAAAATAAAATAATAAAAATATGTTAAAATCTTCTGGTGGCAGTGGACTTTGGACATCGTAGGCTAAATATTGGGTTTGATGTTTTTTCATATGTTTTTTGTTTTCTAGATCTAAAATTTTTCCTTTTGATACGAAAATATTTGGGCTTGAATTCTGTCGATCCTTCGGCTGCAAGTTATAAACGTACTTTGTTTTATGAGAAATCCATAAAATTTTTCAGCTGTTACTCTCTTTGGGCAGGAAAAAAATCCAAATGAAATGAATCAGTCACTCCTATTTTCATCCATTCTCAAAAGATATTGCAGGGGTGGCATGCCATACTCCCAGGAAGGGAAGGTGGGCTCCCACATTGACTCAGCCTTCTGAAGGCATCGTATTGATGATAGTGATAAGGGCCTCTAGAAGAAGTGGTTAAATATGTAGGCAGGGAAATGTTGATTGAAGGGGATCCTGGAGAGAAATCCTGACACAGAATCTCAGTGGGTGTAAGAGATAGAGTTGCCATGGTGAGAGTGCTTGCTACCATCAGTACATCTTGGTGCTCTTCATGAAGAGTGCTGTGAATACTGACTGCTGTGCTTACAGACCATCCTGTTTCCAGTAGTGTAGACAGGCAATCTGCTTGGCATTTCCATTGTAACCTGTTAATATTTAGGATTTATTGTGCTGCTATTCTTCTGTGAGGTTGCTTTAAATCTGTTAGGTTACCATTAGCTTCTCTCTTTTATTTTTTTTTTGTTGTCAGGTGCAGTTATAAGATTCCAGAATTACTTTGTCTGTAAATGTCATGCTTATAAAATACTGAGAATGTCATTCTGTGAAACAGCTGGTCAAGAGAAGTTCTCTCTTGCTGTGTGTTTGTCTAGTACTATTCTCTGGAGCCCTGGAAGAACTGCTGAATGAAAAGTTATACAGCACTAGTGAAATGTGTCTTCACTGAATGCAAAAAGCACAAAAAGAGGGACATCTCCCAGCTTCATGTTTTAGCAGACCAGAATTGAGGTCTTGTGTATGTAGAGGTAGGGAATCCTGGATTGTGACCGAATTCCTCTTACTACACAGAAAATTAACTGGGCCAAGTCTACAACCATGGGAAACTCCAGCCTGAATTTTGTCAGGGCTGTGTTTGGGAAATGCTACTGTTACCCCAGAGCTCTGCAATGTCTGCACTAGGACTCTTGGGATGTAGATCTCAGCTCTGCAGGAAACTGGAAAGTGCCAAAAGCCTTAGCTAAAGCTGGGTTTTCTAAGCTCCCTGGTGTAGAGCTGAGCTTTGATTAGAGCTGGAACTCTCAGGGCTGTTGGACTCCCAAATTGTAGCAGCAAGTCTTGGATCCCTGGCACAGCTGGCTGCTACTGAGCCAAGCCCAGGGAGCAAGGGAAAGAGTGCCACTCAGTAGGGTAGGGGAATCACACCTCGTTTGCCAAGAGTTCATTAAACCTTTCCATGTTTCAGGTGAAATATTTTGCTTACAACAAATTGCCATTTTCCAACAGAAATCTGTCTCACTGAAATATTTCCAACCAACTCGAGTCACAAGTGAAAGCTCAGTTTGGTGCCAGTTTGCCCTGATCACATGTTCATCAATTAGTAAGGAACAAACGTATATATTTGCCAGTCTTTTTGCAGAGACTAGCCCAGAATGCCACTGTCAGGATTTAAAATTTATTTGTGAAGTCACAGTGAAAAAACTTTTCAATAGAACTGCTGCTATTACTCTGGGCTCAGTTGTTCCTTCCCTGTAACGAGTACTGTATTAAACAAGAAATTGTATAATTATATGTATGTAGTTTATATAGTTTGAGTGTGTCTGCTCATGTAATGTGTTAGCCATTACATATGGGTGGATGGAGTTCTCTTTAAAAGGTAATTAGGATCAAACCTAGTACCTAGGATACTAGGCATTGTGTTCATGCTGGAGCATGCAGGCTCTGTGAGAAGGAGCCTGCAGTCAGAGTATGAGGACAGTAAGAGTAACTCTGATTCTTAATAGACTGTTAGAATAAATTGCAAACACCATATTTTATGTTTGTATTTTATCATAACAGAGCTGTTTATTTTCTGGTAGAATTAATTTGAAGCAAACTATTTCAGTAACTCCTTGGTATTGCCAGGTGCTGTGGTTTTACCCTAATGATACATAAATCAATGAAAGACATTGCTATGCAGGTTGGTTTGGTTTTTTTGTTGGGTTGCTCTGAACAATTTTTATTTGTGAGGTTGCAAAGAATGATTTTTTTTTTTTAATCAAGAAAGCTACTAGTTACAGTTTGGAAGTCTTTATGTACTGACAGGTCATCAGGATCTGGTTGTAAGGACTGTTTGATCCAAAGCAGACTTCATCATTTCCAAGCTGCAAAAACAGATGTTCCTGATTTTTCTGTTTTCAGTTGAGCCTGATGTTTGTGTTCTTTGACTTACATGTGAAAGAATCCTACTGTTCTTAGTGCCTGACTGCTTTCCAAGTGCTCACAATGAAGAGTTGACTCGTTAGTTAGCATCATCTTTTTTATTTAAAATAGCATGAAAAATGTAGAGTTGAGATTTCTACCATGCTATTAATCTGTTTTGCTTAACACATGCTTTTATCTTTCACCTCTTGAACCAGGTTCATCAGCACCAAGACAGGGGTGAGACCTTTCAATGCCAGCTTTGCCCTTTTACCTCCTCCCGCCACTTCAGCCTGAAACTCCATATGCGTTGCCATCAACATTTCCTCAGGACAGAATCTAAAGTGAAGGAGGAAATACCAGAAACTGAGGTGAAGGGGTCACCACAGCTAAACAGTGACTCCTGCCCGGGACCACAGAGGGAAGGAGGTGGACCTGACCTCACGGGATCAGCATCTGTATCTAAAACACCTGATGTGGCTGGGCAGCCTGGTGGGGGTGTTCCACCTTTACTAGTGAAAGAAGAGCCCAAAGACGACAGTGGTGTCTCAGCTGCACCTTTTGCTCTTAGCACTGTTGACAGAGCCCCCAACAACACAAAGCTGAAAGACTCCTCTGACTTTGTGGCCAACACAGCATCAGCACTATTCAGCCAAGACATCTCTGTCAAGATGGCATCAGATTTTCTTATGAAGCTGTCAGGTAATTGAGCAGCAAGCGGCAGCATCAGCTGCTCCTTCGCGGGCTAGGAAACACTTTGCCTTGGGTTTGCTAAGTCAAAGAATTGCAAGAAGGGTAACCTTTTAGCTTCTTAACTTAAAATTTCTTGTTTCTTTTGATAGGAGAGGTGCATGACGGGGGGAGGAGGGGAAACAGTGAGAAAAGAGAGTGATTTTGCTGTTTAGTTGCTGGGATTGGGAGTCAGAACTTTTTATCCAGGCTTTGAAGTTCATTGACAATTACCTTGGCAAATCTCATTTGGTGTGTTTTTAAGGTATGCTCAATACCTGCAGTTCTGGTTTGAAATCACACTGGTTTGAATATTCAGCTAAGTTCTCTGCCTTTACACCCCTGTTAAAAAGGACCAATAAAGTACTGGTCACCTTCCTTTCAGAGTAGTATTTGAGGTCGAAGTATAAATATGTATGAAGTATGAGTGTTATTGCATTTCTTGGTTATTAACACTTTTTTTAAAAGGGTGGTCCCTGATTCATGAACAGCTTTTAATTTTTTTATTATTTTAATTGAAATCCCTTTCTAATGCAAAGCATGTGTTTACTGGTTTTTTTACTGTCAGATTATTGCTGTAGGAATGATATTCATATGTGAGACTCTGAAGTGGAGGATGTGTTTAGGGTGAATCTATTATATTTTATGTGCTCTTCTATTGATATGACTGAATACTTCAGGATTGTCGATATGCTGGGGAGGTGTTCTATACCAAAGTTTTTCAAAATTGGCCTTGAATTTTTAAAGAGAAAGAAGTCAGGAAAATGTTGCTGAAGAAACTTCTGTTTCACAAGGAGATGTCAGTTCCTAGGGCAAGTTTTAGACTTTGGAGATAGAAGATAATCTTTTCAATAGAGAATAATTAGTCACCTTCCTCTTTTAAATGGAAAGTAAGTTACATTTTAGCAAATTTTGTTATGATGTAAACTAAGGAATTAGCTCTGTCTTATTGCCATTGCCTTGGTGGAACCACAGCCATTTATTTAGGTGAGGCTTGCAGTCCTCATGTGCCCAGACTTTTATACCTCTGGGATCACAGTTCTGTGAGGAATTGAGTACAATGGGTAAACACAAAAAATCAAGACTGAGGCTTCACGGAGCCAAGCTGGAAAACAGAAAAGAGCTAAGGGCAATCAGGAGTTGAATTGGGCTGGCACAAATGGTTTGCTGTGTGGGTTGGAAGAAGCCATAGAACCCGCCCTTTAAAAAAAAAATTAATAATCCATTGATATAATTTATTGCTATGACTAACAAAAAGCGGGCAGGATGAGTCTGTTTTGATTTGCTTGTGCATTTTTTTTACTTGAGTTTCAAATTTGGCCTCTATGTGAAATCCATTTCGCGTTGTCTAAGAGCTGTCCCACACATGGGGTTGTTCTGATGTCAGTCTTTAGATTTGGGTTGCTGTGCACGAAGTGGCTCCTGCACATCAGCAGTACTGACCTGGAGATGGTAGTGCTCATGATGGCTGCATGTAGCAGAAAGCAGGAGGGGTGGGGGGAAGCCTGAAAGCTGAGAAAACATACAACATTTTGATGTGCTGCTTTTCATGTAGCAGTTGATGGGAAGCTGTTTACAGTTTGGCAGACGGTCGTGTTTTCAGTGTCTGATCTATTGGCATCAGAAAAAGGACACATAATGTACGTTATTCATGCAAAAGGCCTATGCAGTTATTTTATGGTGACTTACTAAAGGTCTTCAAACCTGACTTGTATGCACTGTTACCTAGCAACATGTTATAAAGTCACTGGGGGAGCGAGATGTATGTGTAATTTTGTATGTCCGCATATTTGGATTAAAATGTGCTGCCAGTCACCAAGTTTGGTACAGAAGAAGAGCAACGTCTAAAGGAAAGGAATTTCTTTTCTTCTGAGATTTATTTTGTTACATACGTTTACTGCGTGCTTTCCTCCATATAGTGTGAATAAATTTAGAGGAGAAGTAATTCTCTTTTAGCAAGTTGGCTAAGTATTAGCTGCATTTTAACAGTTTGCTGTGCTGAACGAAGTTCCTTTGAGTGATTTCTTTATTACCACAGTCTTGTTAGGCCCATCACAGCTTCAATTATTTGCCCTACCTTTCCAATGATATAAATCTTTTGACATCTCAAATTGTATATGCCAATTGTAACAGCCAGCACAGATTTGTGAGACCAAATTATGTCAAAACAATCTAATTTTCTTCTCTGACAGGCCTTGTGGCTAAGAAAGAAGCAGTAGATAGATACACAGACTTTTAGAATTTGGCGTTTATTCATATTGAATATTGATGGTTTAAATGAACGTTTATTTTTGCTTGCCAATGCTTATTGCTCCTCTTCTTGGAGGGGGCCTGTTGGTTCTCATTTCTGTGCAGTTTCAGCCTCTGCTTTTTCCAGGTGTGTGACTCAGAGGAGTGCTTGTCTCCCTTCAGACCTGAGTTCCAGTTTCCAAAAGTTTAACTGGCACACCGAGGGTGAAAGACGGTGTAAAATTGGTGTTTATTAAGTGTTGGGAATTTTAAAACTGAATCTTAATAAGCATGTGTATAATCTTGACACTCAGTATTACTTCTGAGTGTACAGTGCAGCACCTCTCTAGTCTAGATGAAGTGGATGTCAGATGGTTGGAAAACAGTACACTGAAAGTAGTCCACAATCAAAAGAGAAGAGTTGCAATCAAAAGAGATCTGTGAAAAATGTGCAACTGTTCAACAAACAGTTGCACAAAACACGAGACCAGGAACAAGTATCTAGGTAGCGGTTCTGTGGGAAAGGAACAGGAGTTAACAGCATCATACTGGTGCTAAAAAGGGCATAATTGTACTGGAGTACAGTAGAGAAATAGCCTCGAAGAAGGGGGAAACAGTCCTGTTCTTCTCAGTCTTGCTGAAGCCCAAGATTTTGGCACTATAGCTTATAAAGAGTGCAGATAGAAAGATTTAAAAGGATACAGTGGAAATGACTGGGAAGTTTAGAAAACATGTCCAATGAGGAGAGCTAAAAGGGAGTAGACTGTGAAGCCCATAGAGAAGGCTAAGGAGAGTCATTAATGACCCTTTAATGCATTAAAATGTTTGTCATAGGGAGAAGGAAATAATCTGTTGATGATTCATCATAGAACCATAGAATTATTTGGGTTGGAAAAGACCTTAAAGATAACTTAGTCCCAACCCCTGTGCCATGGGGCAGGGACACCTCCCACCAGACCACATTTCTCAAAGCCCCATCCAACGTGGCCTTGAAAACTGCCAGGGATGGGGCATCCATGACTTCTCTGGGCAACCTGTTCCAGTGCCTCACCACCCTCACAGTAAAGAATTTCTTCTGTATATTGAACCTAAATTTCCCCTCTTTCCGTTTGAACCCGTTACTCCTTGTCCTGTCACTACAGTTCCTGATGAACAGTCCCTCTCTGACTGCCCTGTAGACAGATGTAGGCAGATGATGTCTATCCACCCATATCCACCAATGCTTAGCCCTGTCATAGAAGGCCACCAAATTCGTCAGGCATTATTTTTCCCTTAGTTGAGCTATGTGGGTTTGTCAGTTATCACCTCTTTGTTTCCTATGTGCCTTAGCACAGTTTCCAGGAGAATGGAAGTTATTGTAATTAATCATAAAATCATCATAATTAGGACAAAAATTAAGAGGATTATATTGCTGTAAGTTTTAAGTTGGCATTAGGAAAGTCTTTCCACAGTTAAGCTATTTAAACCTCTGTGATAGTTTGGCTGGAGAGACTGAGGCATCTCTGCCACTGTACAAATTTAAAAACATGTTCAGAACGGGTTAGGGGAGCTTTAGATTTAAAGAAGTTGAGAAATACTGGTGTGGGTGACCTGTTGAGACCCCTTCATCCCCAATTCTGTGCCATTGCTTGCCAGAAAGATATGTAATTACATGTTTTATGAAATAAGGCATAACACAAATCACCAAATGTAAACCTAACGGTTAAAACAAATCTTGAATTTTTTTTTCCAGATTCCATTCTCCAAGTCCTAGTTTAAATTAGGAGAGGCTTTCAAATTCACAGGAAATTTAAAAGAGTTCTCTGAAATTTTATTTAAATTTGTTTGTAAAGGGAATTAGCAGATGACTGAACATATAAACAGAGGAATATTTAAGCATGGACATGTTTTTACGTTCAAATCTTCCCTCTCTTATTTCAGTAGAACTGCTTACATGGCTTTAAGTTGCCCGAGTACTTTGCGGTATCAGTGCTTTGCCAGAATGTTTTCTTCCCCCAGTCCATTAATTCCATATTGAAACTTTGTAACAGCATTCATATCTTAATTTGAAGAGCATTTGCTTTTCCTGTTTCAAAGGTTTCAGTGGCAGACATTATACAACCCGTCTGTTTAAATACTGATGTCCTTCCACCCACTTTTAAGGCTTGGGGTTTTTTTGTAATAAAAAAGTGTCTTTCACAATGATCCAAATTACAATGGCCAGTGTACCCTAGTGGTGTTATTATTGTGCCTGTGTTATGTGCTGCAGTTACTTTTAACATTTGAAAATAAATGAATCCCAACAAAATGAATGGGATTCTTGCACTATTGCTCTCAAAGGGATTCTGTGTGGAAACAGTAATTGTAACACATACTTCACTGCTGGCCTCTCTCCCCCACCACTCTGTGTTAAACAAGTGTATTACTCTGGAAAGCATGTCTCTTCATCTTTTGAAGTGTTATCAAGTGGGCTCTGCTTCTGGCGTTCTTTTTATGTTCCCCAAGTTACTCACGTGGAAGAACTTTAAAAAAGAGAGGAGGAAGGAGCTAACATGCTGAGGGTTTGGGGCTGGCCACGTTAAACAAATGAGAAAATATGTTTTCTCCCGAAGTCATATCTGCTGTCACTGTCTTGTGAGAAGTCAAATCTTTATTTTGGAAAACTTTGGTGACTGTCCAAAGTATTGGGACTTTGCATTCCTGTTTTATTAGCTGATTCCATTAATGGAATAATGAAAGAGAGAGACATCAGACAGCTACATACA